TAAGTGTTATAAGTGTACTTTAAATGATTCTGCAGAAATAGAGCATGCATTCTTCCAGGTTTGTATTTTTTTTAATGTATAGTTCATTTCTACTGCAAAGGATATTTATATTTGCTAATTAACTGGCATATATGCCCAACCCATCCATTTTATTTAAAAACCAAAACAAAACTGTTTACAAACTTATGTCAAGCCAGAAGGAATCTTTGCAAATTTTGTTTGTAGAAGAGTGGACTTATGAAGAGATTCCATACTTTTGACTCTTTTTTTTGTATTTAGAGGTCTTTCACAGTAAAGCCTTTTTCCTATATCCTGTTAACACATCACCTTAATTGTTAGAAAAAAGCTGGGTACTGTTGCTCACACCTGTAATCCCAGTACTTTGGGAGGGCACAGGAGGAGAATCCCTTGAGGCTAGGAATTTGGACCAGTCTGGGCGGCATAGCAAGACCTCATCTCTCAAAAAAAAAAAAAAAAAATGGTAGTGGCGCACACCTGTAATCCCAGCCACTCAGGAGGAGGCTGAGGCAGAAGGCTCCTTTGAGCCTAGGAGTTTAAGGCTACAGTGAGCTATGATTGGGTCTCTACACTCCAGCCAGTGTGACGGAGTGAAAGACCTTGTTTCTTTCTTTTTTTTTTTTTTTTTAGAAGAAGCAAAGAAAAATTTATTGACGCCTTAGAATCCAGAGTGGAATCAATTCAGTAGGTGTTAGCAGATTTGAAAGTTCAGTTGTCTAGAAGCTCTTCGAGGAAGATGCTGTCGTAGTTGTTGCGGATCGTGGATCCACACGCTCCTGCTCCTGCCTCAGCACTGTTCGCTCTTGCCGAGAAACAAGTCAGTGAGGAAGCCGGACAGCAGCCATGGCTTTTAAGGATACGGATACCAGAAAAACACCTATGGAGCTGGAGGTGGCAGTTCACCACAAATCACTCTAACGAGCCACACATAAAATCCTTGGAGAAGGTGTATGCTGACTTTTATCAGAGGACCAAAGGAAAAGAATCTCAAAGTGAAAGGACAAGACCTTGAGAATCACTACAAGAAAAACTCCTTGTGGTGAAGGTCTAAGACATGGGATCATTTCCAGATGAGAATCCATAAGTGACTCATTGATTCCCACAGTCCTTCTGAGATCGTTAAGCAGATAACTTCCATCAGTATTGAGCCAGGAGTTAAGGTGGAAGTCACCATTGCAGATGCTTAAGTCAACTAAATAAATTGATTACCAGTTGTTAAAAAAAAAAAAAGAAAAGAAAAAGAAATTGTTAGCAAAGTGCCACTGCAGGGCTTAAATGTGTACAAGGAGCAGTAGCTTCCCATCACTTGCCTAGTTCAGCTGGGATCCACTTTTATAGGTGTAGTAATGTTGGTTCAAACAGATTGAATAAGTTCTCAGGTAAATTGCTAGTGGAAGAACAGGCTGAGATTTAGACCTGGATGTTTTAACTCAAAAGCCTGTGCTCTATCCATAAGCTCCCTCCTGGGGCAAATTATAATATATATGAAACAGATGTGAATCAAAATAAAACAATGGAAAAAAATAGTACTTAGGTTTTAGAGAGTGGCAACCACATCTCACCACCATCTGTAAGGTCCCTTTCTGTGGGAAGTGGGTTCTGGGTGGGAACAGGATGTCAGGATTAACAACGTTCCAGTGCCTCTGGAAGTAGAGACTCATTACATAACAGAGGGGGTTCTCAATCCCTACTCCATCAGGCTACTACATTTTGAAAAATATAGCATATGATATAGATAAAATGGAAGAAAGATCTCTTGAGTTTATGCTATAATTAAGGAACAATTTGTGAGGGAGGCAATATTTTCCTTGAAGGATTTGTTAGTGTGAGAAACAGATGAAATGAGGATCCAAAGTTTCCGTAAAGAAAGAGGTTTTAGTTATAGGGGAAAGTAAGAATATAGACCGAGAGCTGGGACAGCTACTCATAATAAAAGCTAGCATGTACATATCTAATTTAAACAACACATCCCTGTCAGTGCAGATTTTAATTTTTATACATAAGGAAACCGAGACAAACAGTTTGCTCTGGGTTTTGTGCCAGCTTCTGTGAGTCATCAAAGCCTGAGTTCAAAACCACTGTCTTGCTCTCTGCCTCATGGCAGCTTGGCTTAAGAGTCTGGCCTAGGCCAGGCATGGTGGCTCACGCCTGTAATCTCAGCACTTTGGGAGGCTGAGGCGGTGGGATCACGAGGCCAGGAGTTCAAGACCAGCCTGGCCAACATGGTGAAACCCTCTTTACTAAAACTACAAAAATTAGCTGGGTGTGGTGGCGCATGCCTGTAATCCCAGTTACTCAGGCAGTTGAGGCAGGAGAATTGCTTGAACCCGGGAGGCAGAGGCGATGAGCTGAGATTGTGCCATTGTATTACAGCCTGGGTGACAGAGCGAGACTCGGTCTCAAAAAAAAAAAAAAAAGGGTCTGGCCTAATCTGGCCCAACCAGGTAGATAAATCAGAGAATACGCAGAAATAAAATTGAATGCAAAAGGTGGGTTCTTACCTTTTTTTTTGAGACGGAGTCTTGCTCTTTCGCCAGGCTGGAGTGCAGTGGCACGATCTTGGCTCACTGCAACCTCTGTCTCCCAGATTCAAGCGATTCCCCTGCCTCAGCCTCCTGAGTAGCTGGGACTACAGGCGCACGCCACCACACCTGGCTAACTTTTTATATTTTAGTAGAGATGGGGTTTCACCATGGCCAGGATGGTCTCGATTTCCTGACCTCATGATCCGCCTGCCTTGGCCCCTCAAAGTGCTGGGATTACAGGCGTGAGCCACTGTGCCCGGCCAAGGTGGGTTCTTACTTTTAAGGGCATTGAATGATAGTTAGGTTAATAAAGATTTAACTTGGTGTGAGGTAGAAAACCATTAAATGATCATGAGTAAGGTAGTGACATAATTCTTAAGGAAAGCACAGATTTAAGAAAGCCAAGTTGCACAGTCATCTAGATGTGATGCTGTTTCTGCAATCACAATACCCCTGTGAGGTCAGAGTATTGACCCTGTTTGAAGTGAGCAAAATGAAGTCTTAGTAAGGTGATAGGTATAGTCCGGGTACACCTAGGGAGTATCCAGGAGCTTGGGGCACACGCTTCTCCTGTTGCACCTGTGCTCTGTCCCCTGGGCAAGCCAACCTCCCCTTCTGCTCATGCTTGGTGCGTGGTAGACACTCCTCACATTCTTTTCTATTTATCCCTCCTCTCTTTGTCTCCATCCTGTGCTAGGAGCTGGGATACAACAATAAGGAATGATTTTGGTCTTTTAGGAACCCCCAGGACACTGGGGAGACAAGCATATAAACAAATAAATGCCCGGTAGAATAAAGGTGCTAAGAAAAAAAGGAAATGGCTGGCACAGAAGCCCTCTCTTTCCTTCTTCATTTCTGCTCAGACCCTTTTCTTTCTCTCTCCTCCTCCTCTCCCCAATGTCTGTTGTCTCTCTCAACTTCCCCTCAGCCCCATTCATTCAGACTCTCCTGTGTGAGGCTCTGTCCCTGAAACAGTTCTCTTCACCCTACCGGAAAGAATCTTCAAGGCTTGTGTGTACAGTGTGCATTATTGTTGATACATTTTTTACTTTTATTTTTACATCTATGGTATTTAAAACATATCCTTATCTTCAGAGTAATTACAGATCAAAAAGTGGTAGATCAAATACGAATATGTATTTAAAGTATTAATGTTAATCATCAGATATTGAATCTAGTGGTGATTTGATCAGAAGCATAGATTTGTGACTCTGAATTTTTTTTTAATGCTGAATACACAGAGACTTCTTTTGAAATTTGGTGGGTTTAAATGAAAACATAACTTGGAACATTTTTTCAGAACTGTGGTTTAGGCTAGAATCCAGATACTACAAAATGCTGGTGTTTAGTGCTTACTAAATACTACTTCACAAGTATAAATATGCAATACTTAAATTAGGTTAATTGAGAAATCATTAAATTTTGTTACTTTAAAAAATTGTGGAAAACATTTATATTATAAAAATGTTTTTGTCTTTGGCTGCTTGATATAGATTTTCTGAACCATGTAATACTGATCACATGGAGGAGAAGACCCATATGATAAGACTAACATAGTTCATAGATAATGGAGTCCTTTTTGGGGGGGTTAGGTGATAGGGAAAACCAGGGCTAGAAAAGAAGTAGTGTGTAAGTTCCCAAGATGAGGACCCTGTTTTACTTCTCTTTGGTGGCCCAAAACTTAGCAACTTAGCACCAAGCACTTAGTGTTTGTTGAACTCATAAGTCATTTAGGGTTTTGTTTTTATTTTGTTTGTGTGTGTGTGTGTGTGTGTGTGTGTGTGTGTGTGTGGTGTGTGTGTGTGTGTCTGTGCTAAATAAAAATAAAGCACAGTGACACACACATAATTGATGTTGTCCTATTATATAAGTGGATAGCTAAGTAATTTTTAAATTAATTTTTTAAATTTTGTAAATTTTTAGTAATAACATAAGTATCGTTTTTTGCAAAAAAAAAAAATATATATATATATATATATATATATATCCTAGCTAATATACTAAGATAACTATCATGAAGAAACAGTCTATATTATCTTAAAAGTAGAATAATGCAGGGAAGTTCATTCTTTAATATAGTTTTAGTGTCATCACCTATAAAGAACAAAATGATTCTCTAGGCCAGATCATGCAAACTCAGTAATTCGTTTTATGTCTCTGAAGTTTAAGGCATGACATACTTACTTATTTCATTGTAATAAAAAAAATATGCTGAATAGTAACCAAATATTGGAAAAAACTAATACTGCTTCAGGCAGATGAATTTGTGAATGACTGTAACAATTAAGCAACTCAAATTCATAGAATAGATGATGGTTCTTAGAACAGATGTTAAAAATGTTCTCAGATACATTCTTTGGCAGTTTTATCCTGCACACTTTAAATCAAAGGAAAATTAGTTTATTGAGAAATAGTAATATAAAATTATTAACTCTTTTTCTTTTCATTCTACTTCAGAGTGCCTGTTATTAAGCCAGACATAGCCAACTGGGAGCTCTCGATAAAATTGCATGATAAAGTTCATACTGCAGTAGCATCAAACAGTGGGTCCACGTTCTTGGTGAGTTTTCTTTCTTTATTTTCTTGGTAATCTTAATATTATCTATGAATATTTAAAGCCATTTTTAACCTGTTCAGTGACTCTCATCTTTTGAATTTATAGTATCTCTGTGTATTTGTTTCATCTTCTTTAGGGAGCTGAATGGAAATGGAAATTTTTGTTCTCTTATGCTAATTAGGAAATGCATTTCTAGATTTAGCCACATCCTAAACTCACTTTCTGATACCTGATTCATTTTTCTTTTATGTTATGAGAGGTAATACTTTCACCTTTGTTACAGAGAGGAGCATTTTGAATTATAATTCCAAATGTATGATAGTGGTGGTAGGTAACCATTCATTTAAAACAATCTGAAACCTCACATAACATTATCTTTAGATCTCATGTTTCGAGACACTCTTGAGGCCAAATTTACCTTGTGGTGACATTCTTTTTGTTCTTAAACCCCTTGGATAGTGTCCAAGACAGAAATGCTATAGTCGGAATTCTAGTCTATAGTGGACAATGTTACAGTAAGATTTCAGTGTTTATACTGTAGTGTGAGTGATATGTTTAAAACTGTGATTCACGTGTGCCAGAAAAATACCATTAAGAGTTGCTATGTTAGCTCTGGATTGTATTTTCAGCCTGAACTCAAGGAAGTTGCTATTAACATACAGTTAATGCCATTTTGTTTTGGGGAAACAAATGAATTTTTATCAGAATATTGAAACCAGATGTGAAAATCAAAATAGTATAATTTCACAGAAATAAGACCTGGTGTGGCTTGAGAAGGATATGGGAGTTTCTTGATCTCAGTGAGAAAATATCTCAAGTCAAAGATTCATTTCTTCCACAAATAACTGTTGCATGCCTACTCTGTGCCAGATCAGTTCCAAGCTGTTGTCCTGGGGAAGCTGACATTCTTGTGTGGTAGTCAGACTCACAAATCAATGATGTCAGTCCATGAACTAAGGGTAGTCGCCTTGGTTTTTTTTAAAGTTGTGATTCACTATATGTGCCAAAATTACTAAAATGTTGGTTACTGAGAGATAACTTCACTCAGCTCTCTTAAAATGAAAGCTATGATGGAGTTAAACAGTTGTCTTGAGATCTTGTGTAACTCTCTACATTCCACGTATTGACATGGTTATTTCAGAAAAACAGCTTTGTAAGTGGACACTTAACCAGAGATCAGGTTGAATAGTAAATTATAGGAAGTGAGTAGTAAAGAGTATCAATATTACAGTGTAGCATTGTTTTTCCCCTGGAGGAAGATTAGCTTTACAAAAATGTGGTGTTGGCATAATTTTGAGTTCTGTATTGAGTCACCACTGAAGCCTTTCTGTAATCTGTTATTCTGATACAATGTTCTTTTAAGTAGTGCCTTGCCTTAATAAAGAAAACTGTCTAGATTACTTCTTACAGCTCTTTTTTTTGAGATGGAGTCTCACTCTGTCGCCTAGGCTGGAATGCAGTGGCATGATCTCAGCCCACTGCAGCCCCTGCCTCCCAGGTCCAACTGATTTCTCCTGCCTCAGCCTTCCAAGAAGCTGGGACTACAGGCGCATACCGCCACACCCAACTAGTTTTTGTATTTTTAGTAGAGATTAGGTTTCACCATTTTGGCCAGGGTGGTCTTAAACTCCTGAGCTCAAGTGATCCTCCTGCTTTGGCCTCCCAAAATGCTGGGATCACAGGCAAGCTGTTGCTTCTTTATGCTTGTTTTAGATTCCATGTTGAAACATTAGACCTCAGGCCTGACTGCATATGTGGTATCTTTAAAATTTTTTCTCTGAAAAATTATCTCCAGCTTCACTTTTTAGCTTATGAGGAAAACAAGGCTGTTTTTAAAACACTTCACAGTTACTGCATTAAAAATTTCCCTGGATAATACCCACGTCAGTATATAATATTGGAAATGATTTCATATATTTATTGGCTTAGCTACTGTCGGAGCATCAAGAGCCTAATGAAAGGCATATTCTCATGGTAGCGTAGCCCTTTTTCCTAGGCGAATTTGAATTGAGCTACTTTCATTTGACATCAGTATTATGAACGGAGGCAGGTTGAACAGCGTGGTGTAAGTAAAGGCTCGTGGGTATAAAGATTTCAATAGTATGGCACTGTTGTCTGCTCTTAGGGTCATAGACGGGAGAGCTATGATTGTTAACTTAGTTTCTCAGATCACCCACTGTCACATCAAGAAAAAAATTAGCCTACAGGTGACAAGCTAGGTCTGGGTTAATGACTCTGGAGGTAGTACAGGCAAAGGCTTTATTTAGCATACAGTAAAGTTTTAGGTGCCCACATTTCCAGGGCTCTTTTGTTTAATTTTTAGAAGTTTAAATTATGAGATATTTCTAATATAGAAAGTACAGCAAATGTTGCAGATTTTCCTTACAGATCTCCTATTTAAAAAGAAAAATATATAGATTAAGCTAAGTCCTTTCTTTATATCATCCTGTTCTGCTTTCTCCCAAGAGGTGGCAGCTAACCTGAAGATGCTGTGTGTCCTTCCTGTAGGTGTCGTTAAGAATTTTGGTACATATGTATATACCACAATAATGGTAAAAAGGAAAGTTGCAACAATATACATACTTAATGGCACCATTTATGCAAATTTTAGGCAAAATAATTTCATTTACAATAGAATCAAAATGACTAAACTACATAGGAATATATTTAACCAAGGAAGCAAAAGGCTTGTACCCTGAAAACTATAAAATGTTGCTGAAAGAACTTAAAGAAGGCACAAATATATGGAAGGATGTCTTATGTCAAGGACTAGAAGACTTAATATGGTTAAAATATCAGTACCTCAGCTACTTGAGGCTGAGACGGGAGTTTCACTTGAGCCCAGGAGTTTGTGATCAACCTGGGCAACATAGCAAGACTCCATCTGTGGGGAAAAACAAAAGAAAAACAAAAGAAGGAAATGTCAGTACTACCTGAAGTGATCTACAGATACAATGCCATCTCTATCAAAATCCCCAAGTATATTTTGTTGCAGATGTAGATAAACTTATTCTAAAATTCATGCAATTTCAAGGGGTCCCAAATACTCAAAACAATCCTGAAATAGAAGAAGAAAGTTGAAGGCCTCATACCTCCTCATCTCAAATCTTATTGCAAAACCACAGTTTTCAAAACAGTGTGGTACTGCACACACACACACACACACACACACACACACACACACACAATGGACTAGGATAGAGAACCCATAAATAAACCCTTGTATATATGGTCAAATGATTTTTGACAAGAGTTTTTAAAATATTCCATGGGGAAAAGACAGCCTTTTCAACATGAATGAATTTGGGTCCTTCTCTTACTCTGTATACAAAACTAACTCAAAATGGATCAAAGACCTAAATGTAAGAGCTAATGCTTTACAATTCTTCGAAGAAAACCTAGGGGAAGGCCAGGCACAATGTCTCACACCTGTAATCTCAGCAGTTTGGGAGGCCAAGGCGGGTGGATCACTTGAGCTCAGGAGTTTGAGACCAGCCTGGCCAACATGGTAAAACCCCATCTCTACTAAAAATATAAAACTTAGCCAAGTGTGGTAGCGCACCCCTGTAGTCCCAGCTACTTTGGAGGCTGAGGCAGGAGAATCACTTGAACATAGGAGGTGGTGGTTGCAGTAAGCCGAGATCATGCCACTGCACTCCAGCCTGGGTGACAAAGTGAGACTCTGTCTCAAAATAAAAATAAAAATAAAAAAGGTGGGATGAATGCATTGTAGAAATAAAAGTTAAGTGAAGTATTCATAGTAAGAGAAGTGTAAAGTATTTTATGTCTTTTAGGTCTTTATTCTCATTGCTGAATACAGCTGTCTGAATGAATGACAGAATTAATTAAAAAGTATAAAACCTGCTAGACACAAAGTGGAAATATTATTCAGCTTGTCGTGGTGATAAACCTGAAAGTACCCAAATAGCAAACTGATTTTTATTTATAATTATTTTCATGATCCCTTCTGGATTCCCAGGATGTTTTCCATTTCTCTCTCAGTATAAATCAAAACTGCTCAAAATAGTTTTTGGCTGGGTACAGTGGTGTGCACCTGGAGTCCAGCCACTCAGGAGGCTAAGGTGGGAGGATCCTTTGAGCTGAGGAGTTTGAGCTCAAGCCTGCCTGGGTAACAAAACTAGACTCCACCTCAAAAAAAAGTTTATGTTGAAAGAAAACATTAACACCGTGAACACCTTAAAGATGGTAAAAGACTAAATTTATATTGCATATGATTCACTTGAAAGCAATAATTGAAAGAAGAGTGTCAGAGTAGTCCTGATATATAAGAAAAATTGTTAGAAATTTGGCCTTCCTAGTGGTGGAAAAATGAGCACTGTACATGCACTTTTTGAAAAGTTTTGCCAGACGTTTCATGTTTACTACTAATACACTAGAAAACAATTATGTATGATCCTAGATATTGAATTGTTACAGTGAGCCAGCGATAGAAATTTTTGTAAGGACCTTGTAAATGACCATTTAAGAGTAATACATGGTAGACTCCTTAGACTTTTTTTCTTTTATAAATATATAACATTTTATACATTTATGGGGTACATGTGAGTGTTTGTTACATGCATAGAAGGTATAATGGTCAAGTCAGAGTATTTGATGTATCTATCACCTTGGGTGTTTTTTTTTTATTATTTCTATATATTAATATCAGTTCAGTTCTTCTTGTTACTCTGAAATGCACAAAATATTGTTGTGTTGCTAAGTATAGTCATCCTAGTCCATTATCAAACATTAGAATTGATATCTTCTAGGTTTCCCCCCAGTTTACTCTCCTTTTTATTTATGCGTCATTCAGGAAATATTTATTTTGCATGTATTTTTAACTTTTTTTTAAAGGATCACTTTTAATTACGGGTAGAGCTGTAAACTTGATAGGATATTACAGAGCTGAACTATTTGTAAAATTACAAATCCCTTCACCAGCATTTTTGCATTTGCTGAGGAGTGTTTTACTTCCAATTATGTGGTCAATTTTAGAATAAGTG